CCATCGACTGTCTGCATTTATGCGAACGCTGTCTCCGGTGTCAACTCGAATACAACATCGACAGGTCGCTCTCCCTCGAGAGTTATCTACCTGTTCACATGTTTTTGTACGAGTAGATTCGGTACGCAAACCTTGGCAACAACCTTACGAAGGACCTTTTCACGTGATCGCTCGTCACGGAAAGACCTTCAAGGTTGATCGATATGGACGCGTCGAGATCGTCAGCATTGATCGTCTCAAACCAGCACACGTCGATGACAGTGCCCTATCTGACACCCTGAGATTCAACGCTAGACCTATCAAACCTAGCGGGATCCTTAAATCTTCTTCAGGTCCCACGCTAGATGCATGTGAGACCTCATTCTCACGTCCCGGTCAACAGCACGCGTCATCTGCACCGTCTACGGACGAGACGACAGTCTCACGTCCAGATCAGCAGACCACGCCGCCTCTGACCTCGGATGAGATTGCAGGCTCACGAAATACGAACGAGACTGCCGTCTCACGTTCCGGTCGCCGAGTACGGTTACCCGTACGTTTCCGCGAATAGTCGCACAGTCAACAACCGATGCGGTGTAGGATTATTCCTATACTATACGTATGCTACACTCTTCTTTTTTTGATTTTCTTTTTGTTTCCTGAGCCCACGCCTTCGACCATCTACGTTTGGTTCCGTCGACTTCAGTCAACTTTGGTGAAAGCTGGATTGGCCACCCATGCTCTTGTCAACGCACTCAGTCGATATATTGGTTTCGAATGCTTGGCGTACGCTTGGTCTCGAACTTGGTCGTTATGGTCGCTTCTGGTCTTTTGGCTCAACGTGGTTTCGTCCTTCGTCTACAGCGTTTATGGTCCGGACCCGTACGAATGCCCTCTTCAGATTCTGGATACAAACCACTCTGGTAGCATGCCGACTCAAGCAACAAATACAACACATCGCTCCTGGTACCGTCCTGCGAAAACGACCTTCGTTGGCAACTCGACGATCAACGATCGCTTTCCTGTTCGCCAATTCTTCCGTCCTACAATCGCTCGTCAGCCGATCAGTCCCACGATTCAAACCGCTATTTATCGAAAGTGTAAACCCTTTCTAGCGGGGGGCTCCTGTAGTGACTCACGTTTATCACGAGAACACGACTGGTTTAATAAAAACAATTATTATTATAACCGACTGTACCAGTGTTTGTTTTAACGTGCTTTTGTTTGACTGTGCTAATGACAGCTATTTTGGGCTTCCATTCACTTACTTACACTTTGATTGTAACTTCGCGCGAATTCGGTTACGTTCTGTAACCAAGCTTGTATCCTGGCACGATCTCGGTATCCTTTCGATGCCACGAGATCGCCAGCAAATAAACATCGACTTGGTCCATTAATTGCCTTCTGATATTCGGCTTCTCGGGGATTTTATGGAGTCATTTGGAACGAGCTTCTTACGCCTTCTGATTCGCTTGGCACGTGTTTCTTTGTAGCGGTGTTCATAGTTAACCTCAACTCGACGCCACGCTACAAATATATTGAAGTTGGTAGTGATTTGTACCTAGTGATTCAGTAGACAACGTTATGGCATTTGAACTAATGGTCATTGTATTCAATATCTAATGTAAATATCAACAATGAAACAGGTATATTGTGTATCTGGATCCCAGTGCTAAACATAATACAAAATATAGTAAAAATTAGAATTCATGATTTATTTAAAAATAGAACAACTTGATTAGTATAAGATTATTGTCATTTATATATTTTTTACTGAATTTTCCTTCCATGAAACATAGTTATAAACTGAAAACAACAAAAAAAGCCACCCATGAAAAACTGAATCACATAGTAACTGAAAGAAGTTGAATAATTGAGCCCTGCTCAAATTGTATAAACAAAACAACAACAAAAAAAGAACCAATAATATCCAATGTTGATAAGATTAATGATAATCAGTCAGAATTAGTAATAATAATATTATTATTATGTATGTTACATATATATATATTTGTACAACAAGAAATTTCAACATATTTCCATCACACTCCATTATGTCATAACTTGAAATTATCATCATTTACATCATTTGTTATGACTTCATCCAATAAACAGTATAAGAGAGAGTATAGAAGTATAGTAAAGAAACACTGTGAGAAAAAAAATAAAACAATCTCTAAGTAATCATATTTTATACAAACTAATTATTTCAAACAATCTGAGATTGTTTACTTCTTCTATCTACATAATAGTCTCACTTATTTGAAGATATCTTTCTTTTTTTTCGTGCAAAGATCATAAAGTGAACATTGAACAAGTGAGGCAGAAGAAATCAATACAAGAACAAACAAAACATTAACACTGCATGAAGAATATAACATACACGAATATATTTTAAAGAATGTACGATTAGAGATAGATTTTTGGTGTTGTTGTTGTTGTTGTTGAGGGAAACACATAGAAATAATAACAAATCATAATAAACAAGAATATTGTAATCCTAAAAGAAATTTAAATTAACTGGAAAAACAAGAACGTTTCACAAGTATAAGTTGTTAATTTGTTTAGTTATGTCGTATAATATTATATGCATTATGATGTAATTAAATAGAAATTCACTCAAAATGTAATGAATAAGATGTTACACAAATTTATAAACAAAACAAAACAAAAAAGAACACAATAAGAAAATCAAAGTAAATATGGACAATAATAAACAAAAGCTTATCAATGACTGTCTGCCTTTCAAAACAGTAAAAATCATAAATGCAAATTTACCACATTGGGTAATGATAACTAAAATTGGTAATAGCATTATTGGATATATATATATATATCGGTAGAAATAAGAATAACTCCCTTCATATTCTGTGATGTTCATTGGTTCTACTACTTTAATTTATTTATTACTCAATTTGACTTTTATTACGTTTTGTTTGTTTGTTGTTCATTGGAACATTATAAACAGATAGTAGTGTAGCGATAATGTTGATGATGATGATGATGATATCGTCAAACACTATTCATGAAGCATAAATGAACAAATTGATAATAGACAATAGTAAAAGATCAAAAGGAAGATATAAATAAACAAACAAACAATAAAAGCAAAGAACCTGAATATCAGTAATATATGAATAATGATCATGTTAAAGTATAAAATGAAATAATGTATCCAATTCATAATTTGTCAATGCAACTATTACCAAAAACAAAATGTTGATTACAGGAATGAACAACAGGCGAAGTATAAAGTCAAGTGAATTTTTTTAAAAAAAAAAGAAAAGAAATTTTATCCATACAAAATGATACATCGTTTGTAATGATGACGTAATTTATTAAGAGGAAAAACAACACACAAAAAAAGAGAATAAAATTTGAAAAAAAAAATGTTGATCTTATGGTAAAAGGGGAGAATTCAGGAATCGATATTATAAAAATGATGGTTTAATAGAGGAAGAAATCACTAAATTCATTCGATTGACGTGTATACATTCATTTCTATGCAGATTATAACATTCGATTAAGCTTTATAAAATAGATGAGAGACAATAAATTTGAGTAGTCATAGTGATGATAATAATAATAATAATAATAATCGGGAAAAGATAATCAAAGCAAAACTAATGAACACTCAGAAGTATCTAATCGTTATCATTGTGTGTGTATATGTGTGTGCTTATTTGGTTCATGTATTATTTAACCTATAGATAAAACTGATAAACAAATTATCCAGCTTGAGTTTTGTTTTTGTTCTATTCAAACTGCAAGCGCAGAACAAAACAGGCACACACACACACATACACATACATACATATGTAAACAATGAAAGCGTATGCAAAGTAGTAGTAAATATAAAGAGTAACATATTTACATAAGCATATACATGTATATATAAATTTCACAAATTGTTTCGTTGAGAAAAAAAAGTAACTTCAAAAAGCACGAAATAACAGACAAAATTAATCAAGCTGGCTGAACAAAGAAAATAGTGTTTTTTGTGTGATTTGGCCATAGATTTAATGATAACAAGAAATACAGATAGAGAGGGAGAAAGAGAGAGACAAAAGATTTCCTTCCTAAGAGTGAAGTTATTATTTACTGTTCGGTAATGCAACAATTCAAAGAAGTAATAAGCCTATCTAATGGTGATTATTATTAACATCAAACAATGTAAAGAATACCTAATAATTTATAAGTTCAAACTTATGATATAATCATCATTTTGATTGATCCTATCCTGAGAATGAAATCAAGCATAAATGGTGCGAAGAAAAAAAGGCAAACACAAAACTAACAACAAAATGTTGATATTTTAAGAAAAAAAAAACTGAAATTGAATCAATCTATTATTCTCTGTTGGATCGATAATGCCGAAGTCAACAGAAAGAAAAGCATGGCTTCATAGTACACTTTTGAATTTAACTGGAAAAAAATGAAATACACACAAGGCAAAACCGCACAGATGTGTAATAAAATTTCTGTTTTCATGATCATCTGCATCACCCAAACCAATAATTATCGGTTGATTCATTGTGAACTGATACATAGACAAATTTGAGTGAAGAATAATATCAATAGAAGTATCTATTGAATAAACAGAAGAATAAGTAAACAAGGTTAAAAAAAGATAGATGGTAATGCCAAGAAACAAAAAGAATCATAGAAACTTTTCTTGATCTACGGTGTCCGTTTTATGACTAACACGTACATACGAAGATAGCTGGGGAGGGAAAGATAGAATTAGAAAACTAAAGAAGTAAAATTTAGAAAAGCCAAAAGGCTATAAATGGAAAATGTAATGATTTCCATGGAAAATTGAAAGACTATGAGCAATACTTGTCACAATGCACTTTGCAATGTGTAACTGTATAGAAAATAACACACGAATCAAACAACACACGTTTGTATAATTGTAAAGATGCATAACATGGGTTACAGTAGTAGTAATAGTAGCACTCTTTCTCTTTGAAGATTTAAGAAATGATAGTGAACTCGTCTTAACAATAAAAAATACACCTTCAATAAGGTCTTCGTTGTTCTAATTCAGAAACTACCCAATCCCATCCATTGTCTTTAATTAAATGAGCTAATTCTATGATATACTTTCCTTCTTTATACTTTTGACTAGATTCAAAAGCTTGTTCATATTTCCAACCTAATACTGTATGACAACAATCACAATAGATATCTGCTACAGAATGGAGACCTGTAAATTGGGAAGAAAAAAAACAGTACCAACAATTAAAATCAACAGTTCGGAGGAGTGGTGAAGGTTACTGAATCTTGTTAAGATCACAAAGTTTACTTCATGATCTTAATAAGAATTAAATTGTACTAAATATTCCAGTATTGAAAGATAAGTAACTTCCCATCAGAAATGAAGGAAATCAACCTATCAATCAGTTCCATTCCATTTAGTTCAATCTCTAAACATATAGTTTGGGATTTTAATACTCACAGTTCAAAATATCGTCAGTTAGTTAACTAAAACAATCCTGAATTTGTAAATCTAAAACTTATAAGTTAGTAAACGGACTTTCTAATTAATAAATATATATAAAAAGCTAAAAGTCTAGTATGACTGTGAAAATGTTCTAAGAATGAAACGTCAATATGTTGTTGTTTTAGAATTTGCTACAAAATGAATAGTACAGAAATGAATATATTCTAGATGCTCTATCAATTGAGATCAACAACTGAAAATTAATCTTACGAACTACAAGACACCAACCATACAAAATCAACTTATACAACCAACTGAATTCGTTTCAATTTAAGGTGGATGTTGTTAGGTAATTAAATAGATTAATTTAATTCGATGTATTATTTCGACCAAAGTGACTCGGTCACCGTCATAATCTAATAAGGAATATATGCCAAATTATTGTACATAAATACCACTTATATCATCTTCATTATTATACACAAAACGATGAACATGATATTAAACCTACACATATTCAACAACGAAATAAAATCACATACCCTTATAGAATAAAATGAGTTCATAGAATTTCGATTAGTCACTTAGTTAAGCAAATTTATTTTCAATATGTAAAAAAACTAAAATGAAAAGTGGATAAAATCAAGAATAGAGGACAAGAAAAATATAATTTATCACCTGGAAACCAATAAAAACATTTGTTACCATAGAAATAATTAGAGAATGTACTGGATTTCAGTTAAAAATAACTGTGATAGTCATTCAGTAAATTACTATCCTTCTAAAATTATATATAACAGAAAACAAAAATCAAAATTTCCGTGGCATGTAAAATAACAGGATTCAGAAAATGTTCATATTTCAACACTTATTCACAACACATGTGATGTCTAATAAGCAAGCTAACTTATGATATGATAAGTAAATTACACTATATATAAACGGAGAGTAAAAGGAAATTCAGCTGTACTTTTTTGAACAAAAAAAGCACATAGATGAAACCAAATATTAAAAAAACAATATTGATTTAAGCCTAACGACTAATGATACTACTCAACTGCCTAATCCATTAAGTCATAAAAAAGGTGACATTAACTACGATCAATAACACTCTTGGAGAATAATTTCATAAGTTAGTAAACGATTCACAAAATCTGATGTTACTAAACGTTTACATTGTAAATGAATTCCAACTATATTAGTCTTGTCTGAAATATTTTAATCAAGTAATAGAAAGCTTTGAAACCAGGTCGAAGAATCCAACGCTACCAAAATCATCTCAAGTTGAAGATATTGTTATGACCTTGGATGTCTGACTTTTCTATCACACGATTTATCTACCAATCCGAATACGACTTATACGAATCTTCACACTAGGCCAACCAATGACCTTCAACCGGTGTGGGCAGTTTAGCGTCCTTATTGGTCCTATGCCCTACGAGCCCTTCCACTTGAGTCCAGAACAAGATACCATCTTCCGAATCAGAGCAGATCGTTTATTTCAGACACACCCGGTTTATATATCAATCAGACAGACCGCAACGTACCATAAAATAGGAAATAATATTTGTACACAAATAAGCCCAAAAAGTGGCTGTGAATGTGGGAGGCAGTAGTTAATAAACTGAACATAACTTAAGAACCGTAAATCGTACAATAATAAATTATAGGCCAAAATAAAGCTTGTCATAAGAGGGATATAAATACACATAATGTAAGTGTTGAATAGTTATACAATAAGAATATTTATAGAATATTAGTCCATGAATAGTCCTTGGAATTTACCTGTAATTTAGTCTTCACCGGATATAACAGATACATTTCACAATATATTTATTTCTTCATAGTTTAGAAATAAAGTTTTTCATCCCGATGTCATTCATCCGAGAACAGCCTAAAACAAGAACTCTTTAATTGTTTTGCTGATATTTAAGTGTATTTGTATCGCTCTTCATTCAAGTACATTTTGAGTATATTTACATTATATTATTATAGACCTATTAATTTTTCTTTAGTGGCTCAGATAAATCTCCTTATCAAGAACTGACTCATTCTTTTACATAATCTTAAGTTAAGGAGGTGAATAAGTTGTCTAAAGTTAATGTACAAATTGGTTGATCCTGGGATTATCCAGAAATGTAACAAGCTACATTATTTATTTTCTTACAAAACAGAAGCTTAGTGTATGTGACTTACCGTTCATCAAACTCTATATTTACTGAAAACCCGTATCATCTGAACCTGTTTGTAATCTCTTATTTTCTAATATCACAAATTATTAGCTGTCTTTCATTCTTCAACATGTAACCAGTCAATCAACCAGTCAAAATTAATGTAGTAACTGGCATAAACGTGTATCAGCACAAGTTGACACATCAAATCAGCGAAATGAGGTGAAATTAGGAAGAAAATAAGTTAAAACAATAGTAATAAAGATAGCGTGAAAGACGGAACAGTGAACATATGCTTCAATAAAAGGAATGAAGCTAAAGTATAAGTGGAGAATTGTTGAAAGTCATGATACAGGAAGAAGTAAAGAGTCATTATACCAATTTCAATACAACCAATTATGATCTGTATTACTCAACCGCATCAACCATTAAGGACGTTTATCTCAACAATTCTAAATCTATAAAATCTATACCTAATAACACATTTCAGTGATAAGTTTATTATACATGGTTTCAGTATTTCACTCATTTAATAATACTAAGATAAAAATATATTTGTCTATACATATCTGTTTTCACTTAGGTTTACTTAAAACAACAACATCAATAATAACAATCCTATAAATAATGCTTACATCTATTGATCACGTGTACCATGTATGTAAACAAAATGTAAACCTATTCGAAACTTTAACCCTAGAAAAAATCATACGATCCTAGTTTGTTTTTTTGTCTTATTTAAATAGGAATTATTACGTTAGGAAATGCATTTACAATTTTATGGTCAGGAACAATAGTCCCATTGTTTTTTTTTCCCAAAAGACTCTAAAACAATTATAGTTATATGTAAAAATTGGTATAGAATTATTGCTATGTATAAACGTACAAACACACATACCTACACACCTGTATATATATATATATATATATATATATACCCATATAGACTACTGCTTAAAACAATGAATAATGTAATCAATACAAATAGGACTATGAAAATCGTCTACTGTCTGTAACAAAGCCAATCTTTATCTCACTTCTCTAACTAATTCTTCCCTGCCTTTCAAGTTTCATTCAACCTTAAGGTAATAAAAACAAAAATAATGATTAGATTATGAATAATCAATTTTTTTGAGAAGTGTTCTATAATTCTTTTTTTAAAAATATATATACATAGATATGTATTCATTTCAAACTAAGTCAACTGCCACTGTTACTATACTAATCAATATTGGTTGTTAATAGTTAGGATGATAAAGACAACGACAACAACTATAAATATATGGTTGCTATTATTAGTAGTATTATGAGAAAAATGTTACAGTTACTATAGTGATAACAAGAAAACAGATAGAAAAACATTGAAACATAATCGAAGATAACAAAAAAAAAGATTTATTGCCTGGACATTTTTACTAAACATCTGTCACCTTGGTAATAAGCATCAATAATAATAATATAATGCAGATGAAAATAAAATGGATAGTTTAATGATTAAATTTTTGCATATCTGTTTACTGTTCTATACTATACAGGTGTACTATTAATATGTGGGTACATAACTAAACAGATAAATAAATAGAGAGGACCGAGTGCCTGTTTCATGTTAGTATGTGACTACTTAACAGTACGCATTCGTGGTACCTTCAGAGATGGATTCCAAGAAATTCGAGTGTTGTAAGTGGTGTTAAACCTTTATACCACTTGAGTAAAATCCAATACCACATATTTTCAAGTTCAGACAATTTGTAAAACACCAAGATGACTATCTCATAGCATTGATGAGGACTGTTTCATTCTAAACACATCTGAACTCCGCTAGTTATAACAATTCTTCAGAAATTGAGAAAATCATCTCAAAGCAAATCAGTCACAATCACATGATAGATAGATAGTTATTTCGTCATAGTATCAAACCTCTAGTATGTTGAGGAGTCCCATAAGAGGAAAAAACAGTTGTCCAATGCTTCTTGGTTTTAAATGATAATTCCAATCGGGATCAATAATTAATAGTCACCGTCAACAAATTAAATGGATTTTCAGAAAACCACTTCTTCTCAAAGATAGACAAACAGGCAAACTAAGTATCATTAACAATCAAGGTTTGACATGACAAATATGATTAATTTACAAACCGACAAACAGACAAAAAAGGTATGGTCTGACCCGTAATCCACTTCGAAAACTTCTATCCCTTAACACTGATATTGTACAACTTTATTGAAACGATTTTCATAATTTTGCAAATCATTACATTTCTAAAAATTATCAAAGACGTGAATTCAATGCTCATTAAATATGAAATTCTCTTACACTAATTCATAACGATTAAGTAACTGTTCATTGCACTAGTAATGAACAGTCCTGAGTGACAACGTCAAATTACTTTATACTTTTTAACTAATGTATAATTTTTTCTATTTCTCTCCCTCGATTTGTAAATAATTTGCTATTTCTTTGTTACATATTCCCTCAGACTTTACAGTGATCTGAATTAGTTTGACATCATACTATATTCACTATTAAGAAACTTAATTACGCCTGTTACCCACAGCGCAGAAGCATAGGCGGCTCACCAGCATTCTCTATCCA